GACAGAGCAAGGCTCCGTCAAAAAAAAAAAAAAAAAGTAACACTCCGGATAGCAAAGATGCATCACCTCGTAGCACCCAGGCCCAGGAATCTGAAGAACCACATGGTACATCCGATCGGAACTGGATGAAGGGGATGTTCACTGCCTTGAAAAAACAAGCTGGCCAAGGAGCAGCGTGCTGTATACTCAGACTGAAAAAGGTTCATATTGACTGGCTGACTGGCTGTATTCAACAATGCAAAGAGCTGAGCGAGAGACATGGCACATTCCTGATTCTGTTCTTGTACCCTCTACCAGAGTCCTATCATGCTGAAACATTGCCTGCTAGACAGGAACAGGAACACACCACCACTTGGAGAATCCTTAGAGCAGAGCTCGGCAAAACTCAGACCTTAAAGGGGAAAAACTCTCAGCCTGAAGCTGCTTCTTACCTCCAATGGCCACTCAGCCACTCCCTTGAGATGAGCCCCAGGCATGCGGTTTCTGATCTGTGAGATCAGTCACACTACTTCTTGCAGAAGAGCTAAGTAAAGCCCCCATGCCCCCAAAATTCACTGAATGAGGCAGAGCTACAGAAGTGGCTCCATAAACAGACTGGAAGATGGGAAGGATATTGTGCCCATGAACCCTCAAGCAACTGCAGTGACCTCATCCCCCACACAGGCACTCATGCATCTTCACGCTCATTGTGTTTGGTGGAGGTCTGTGCATGAAGTTATTAATTTTATTTGCTTCCAGATTCAATGATTCAAAAGCCCTGGAAATGCTCAAGCTGTCACTCCAAGTTTCAAATCTATTTTAGAGACATGGGCTATGAGAAGCTGATGGCTCAGAAAGGTTCTGAGCCTTTGCTTCCAAGCTCAGCACCTGGAATGACCTACAGAGAAAGCTGGCTTTGGGTCTCTGCTGAGAAACCCGCTGCATCTCCAAATGACTTGTTGCACTGGGCGGCCAACACCAACTCTTCCAGGTGGGAGGTTTTATTGTGTTTTACAACCATGAAAACATAGGAAGGTGGCTGTTACAGCAAACACTTTGGATAGAGGAATCGGCCAAGCTCCCCAAACCCCACCTTCGCAGCCTCTTCCACACGTCTCTCAGGGATTGTTCCTGGTGTCCTTCGTTTGCAAATTCAAGGATGTTGGAAGTAGACATTTAAAGTAGCAGGAACACCATCAGTGAAACAGAAGCAGAAGTACGATGACTTTGAGAAACAACTGATGAAAAACACTACAAAAAACCATTTCTATTGTGTTATGATGTCAGGGTGGCAGATGTGCCCAGGGCTTAGCGTCCATCCTCCCAGGACACTGGTCATACGGGGCCTTCGGTGATCCCCTCCAGAGGCAAGCTGGGTGCGCTGTCAGCTGTGGGTCTCTCCTCTTTCTTCAGTGAGGCTGGGACTCGCAGACTAACGTAGGGTTTATGGCAAGCTGTGTTGGCCAGAGGAGGATAGTGCTGTCTGTAGCAAATGTATGCAAAAATGAGGCCGATGACTCCACCCACAAAGGAATCTAGGCAGGAAACAGCAGAGCGGGAAAAATGGGTTACTATTTGTTCAAATGTGGCCAGTTATATTTTCCAGAAAGCACTTCTCCTTCCTGTTCTAGGACCTGGTTTGCTTACAGGACCCCCTGAAAGACTAAAGGAAAGAGAAACTACGGTGGTGGCCTCTGCAAACTGCCATCATTTCTGGCACTTAAACATTAAAAAATGAGTACTTGATTCTTTCTTCCCTGTTTTTCGCTCTATCGCCCAGGCTGGAGTACAGTGGTGCAATCTCGCCTCACTGCAGCATCCGCCTCCCCAGTTCAAGTGATTCTCCCGCCTTAGCCTCCCAAGTAGCTGGGATTTCAGGTACATGCCACCACTCTCAGCTAATTTATGCATTTTTAGTAGAGACAGGGTTTCACCATGTTGGCCAGGCTGGTCTCGAACTCCTGACCTCAAGCGATCTGCACATCTCGGCCTCCCAAAGCGTTGGGATCACAGGCGTGAACCTCCATACCGAGCCCTTCCCTGTATTTCTTTAACTCACACCTGAGCATTGCATAAACTCAAATTTGTATTCCTGATTTTTGAAATCAATTCTAAATTCTGGAAGAAAAATTCAAGCCATCTCTGTAGGATCTAAATATCTTGGGAGCTGTGCTTTTTTTTTTTTAGTAAGTTCCCACCAGTGTAATATTGCTGGTGTGCTGCAGAAAATCCAGCAGGTGAAAGGGTCTCTGCCTCGTGGTAAGCGGCTTCCCAGGGATGAAATGAACCTTCTGTGTCACAGACAAAGTGAATAAAACATTTTAAGACGTGCCTGTGTTGGCAAACTCAGCAGACCTCTGGCAGAAAGGGCTCAATTCTCTAACAGCTACAGATCTTACCAGCTGGGAGGCGAGAGGGGAGCAGGTGAGGCAGGGGTGTGCATCTGCAGGGAATACCAGCCCTCTGCCCCAGGGAAGCCCCTTGCCAAAGAGAACATTCAGGTAGTTCTCAATAGAGACCTCATAAAAGCAGCTCACACCAACAACGCTCACTTAGTATCTGTGTGTGTGTTCACTTTAACTGTCTATGGGTTATTTTTGCTGAAAAGATTCTAGTCTAGTGGAAAATCTCCCCTAACCAAAAAAAAAAAAAAAAAAAAGGGAACTCTTTCAAGGTTGCTGTCAGGCTGAATTGCCATTCTCCGTTGGGGGGTCTCCACTTTCACAGTTATTTTCTTGTTGAACCATACAGACTTCCCGTAGGCAGGCAGGATCAGCCCCATTTTCCCCAAAAGAATTGGGCTTGAACCCTGGAGTCCTGATGCTATAGTTGCACTGGTCCGTGGTGCTGTGCACACACGCTGGCGGGTTCATTCCAGGCTCGATAACCACATGACTCTGAGGTCCCAGCCTTCAGGATGCAGCAGGCCCATGGGCTGAAGGGTGTGTCCACCTGCATTCAGGTAGGGGCCAGTGGTGATCCTGAAGGATCAGTGCTCAGGGTGGTAACTTTCCCAACGCTTCCCAGTAAGCAACACACTGTAGAGAGACTTCAGTTTAAGTCACAGACTAATGTGCCTCTGTCTCCTGTAGGTGACATGTTGAGTGGTTGTCAAAGAAATGTATCTTTCAGGAAAACAAGCTGCTCAATGCTTAGAAACGTGCCCTGCACCTATCAGTCATTTTTTGTGATCCTGTTATTGGTATCCTGGTTCTATCTAGATCTAACAGGATAATTTCTGAGGACAGGGACAATATTTTCATATTTCAGTATCGTTCATAGAACTGTTTCTACTTTCAGAGTTTCTACGAAGCTAATAGAAAAACATGAAAAGTTCTTATAATGAACAGCTTTATCTTCTTTAAAACAAATTTAGTAATTTCATGCATGTAATTTTATTAATCTGCAATAGCAAAGCAAGAAAAGAAGTATAAATAAAAGAAAAGCTTTTTTATTTTAGACATGTCCGTGATGACAGCATAAGCTTTCCGTGCATGCAGACCCAGGGCCCAGGACACTGCTCTGGAACTGGACTTGGGACACAGCGGTGATGTTCTCTTAAGAGTAAATAGGCGCAGCCATTCTCCTGCTTGGCTGACTCCTTCCCACTGCTGTAAGAGAACAGCCAAGCCCTTGTGTCATTTAAGACTGCATCCCTGGCCCTGCCAACCATCCCAGCTATTTCCCCTTCACTCATCCTACCGAAGCCATGGTCTTCCCTTTAGTTCCTCAAATACATGTGCTGCTTCTCCTCTTGGGGCTCCACATGTGCTGTTCTGATCCTGGATTCCCAGGAATCCCTTCTCCTCATGCCTTCCCCTAATCAATTTCTATTCATATTTCAGAGCTCAATATCATTTTTCTATTCATACTTCAGAGCTCAATACCATTGTGCAACATAGCCTCATCTGACCTCCAGACTAGACCAAGTCTCCCAGTTACACATGTTAGTAGCCCCTCCCCACTCCCTGTGCAATGAGAGTGGCAAACAATGACAAATTGTGTGATTGTTTAATATTTAATGCTGGACTCAACTCTATAAGGGTTGGCTATTGGTTCCTTCAACACCTTGGCCAACACCTCGCTCACAGCATAATTATGTTTGTTGAGGGAAATGGATACATAGTAACTCAGGGTTAGATTGGGTTGCTGTCCTGTGTGTTTTTGGGTGTGCCCCTTTCCCATTCTGGTCCTCTTGATGACCTCATCAGTAACATATTAGCATGGAACCACAAGTCCAAGGTGCCTAAGAGGCCTTGTTATATAAATGTTCCAGGAATTTGATCCTGAGTCAGCCTACTGAGGTCATACATTGAGATTATTTGGAGACTCTACCAAGGTGCATTAAGAAAATAGGTCATATCCCTTAGCACTTTGTGAGACCAAGGAGGGCGAATTGCCTAAGCTCAGGAGTTTGAGACCAGCCTGGGCAACACAGTGAAACCCAATCTCTACTAAAAATACAAAAAAAAAATAGCCAGGCATGGTGGTATGCACCTTAATCTCAGCTACTCTGGAGACTGAGGCAGGAGAATTGTTTGAACCCGGGAGGCAGAGGTTGCAGTGAGCTAAGATCGCACCACTGCGCTCCAGCCCAGGTAACAGAGCAAGACTCCATCTCTTTAAAAAAAAAAAAAAAAAAGAAAGAGAAAAGAAAAGAAAAGAAAAAAACCAGGTCATATCCTCTCGTTGGTTGAGATAAAATATCAGAAACAAAAGTCATTCTAACTGGTCAAAGGGAGAGACCAAATAATTGTCACTGCTTTCTCCCCATACTAGTTCAAATGTCCACAACTGATGAACACAGTGTGACTGCGCAGTAGCTGTCTGGCAAAAAGGCAACGAATACATATTCGTGTCTGCTCAGACTTGGTGAGCAGCCATCAGAGTAGGGGGGATTGGAGGACAGCAGGGAAAACAAGAGGCATTACCAAGAATGAACAAGAAAAGAAGGCAGGAGATCCATTCCCAAGAGAAGAACTGTTTGTCCTTTTGGAGGCTCCTGGGGCTGCAGTAAGGTAACCACCACTTATCCTCACCCCCAATCCAAGAATCTTCCATGCTGAGAAATCCTAAGGCTGACATTGCAGACCCTACCAGGGCAAGTTGCTTTGCCTCTCTGAGTTTCCCTATCTCTCAAATGTGGATCTCAGTATCTGCCTCAGTAAGTTGTGATGATAATTTAATAATATATTACTTCTAATGATTATTTCATGGAGCATGCCAAAATAGGACATAAACATAGTATCCATCCTTGTTATCCTTTTCCCATTCCTCTCACATTCCACTCCAGAGCTGCTGGAGGCTTTCTCATCCTGCCCCATCCTTCTCCTCACACAGCAACGCAGCAGCTTACAGATCTCATCTCTCTGACATGGCTACATTTTCATAGCATTGTAAATAAACTTCTAAGGAACTTAAAAACACATTTGTCACCCAAGAAATTGTAAAGCCATATGTACCATGAATTCTGGAGCAGGGCCAGAGGGTGTAATTAACATGATTAAGTGAAGTTGTTTAAATGAAGAATCTCTTCACTAGCTTATGGCCACCAGCCTATAAAATGTGTCAGGCCTTTTTCTAGTTCAAGGTCTTAGAGTTGCACTATTGTTTTGTTTTTCCTCTAACCCCAGGAAACAGTCCCATGAGGCATTTTTATTAGCATCTAAAATGAGCCACAACATCTGCAGTTGAGCCATTGACTAAACAGACCAAAGAGTAAAACCTACAAATAACACCATTCAACATTCTATTTTCTGTAGCACAGCATTTCATTAGGTGGATCATTGACCAAAAGACATCAAATCATCCCAAGAATGTTTCCCAGACTTACTGACATAGCAGCATGCATGGAAATGACAATTCCTGCCAATTCTGTTTCCCATTTAATGGAATGAGTGAAAAGTGATATCACAGGTGCTATGGGAGTTATCAGAAGTAACAAGGGCAATGAAAGGTCTATCCAAGCTGCTTCTCAGCAAAGTCATTTTGGGGCTGTGTTTATTACAAAGGTGGTGAACAAGATCCAAACAATAACTTACTTTATGAAGGAGCTTGTCATCAATTGCCTCAAGTGGGCTATTGCTATTTTGATAAAATCGCATTCGTATCCTCTTGATAGACAGGCAAGTGGGGGACAAGAAAGCCCTTATTGGGGGAAAAACACTTGGGATTAACTTTGCCCCAAATCAACTGGACGTCTCAAAAGGGAAATAAATGGATCTCAGTGTTTTTGGAATACAAAATACTTCTGTCTCCTTACGTAGCACTGATGCCATTCATTCATACACATGCATTGCATATGTATCAGGGGTCGGGCATGATGGCCAAGCCTAGGGCACAGGCTGAACCAATGGGACAAGTCCCTGCTGTCCCAGAGTTTCCAGCAAAGGGGCAAGACAGATACTAAACAATGACAGCCTTAACAGCAATTTGCAGCTATGATAAGCACCATGAAGGAAATGTGTGAGGGTCTGTGAGCTCACCCAGCACACAGACCTGGGCTATTCTGGAGCAGAGGTTTTGCTGAGGACAT